AACTAAGAACCAGGACTCCTCAATTAACTGAAAGTTATAAAAAGCTGTATGATTAAACGAGTTATAAATTACTCGAACGCATCTTCAGACGAGGCTAGCTTGCTCTTAAAAATAAAAACTGTTTTGGAAATACGTTACAGGCATATAGAATTTCAAAGGCTCAGCCCCGTACATTCTACACCGTATATACAGGCTGTAGTATCGATTGGCAGTTATCGATTGACTGTTATTGAAAGGCGTTTTGCGAAATGTATATGCTTATTCTACGAAAATATTCCAAGTGTAAGGTCTTCAAATTTTTAAAATCGTGATCATACGGTAAATAAAATCTGGCTCTTGTTCAAAGCTTTTTTAGATTTTTTTATCATAATTTAAGCTCACTACAGGAAAAAAGTGTTAGTTAAAGAATAGGAATAAATTTTTACCATCCTCAAACTAAAAGGTAATAAAACCGTTTTGACATTAACTAAAAATATATTGAAATATTTCGAAAGACTAAAAAACTGACCTTAGGCAGGTCGTGTGTGTGGCATCTACCAAACGCACATTACATGTCTGACTTATTTAAATATAAAAATAGTACACTTTGTTCAATGAATTATTCATTTTTTCAAAATATACATCTATCTGAATCACAATAAACTTTGCATACATTAGTATCCTTGTGCGGTCTACTGAACACATGGAAACTGAGTTGTCAGACGAGATGGGGTGCATGTTTTCTTAACGGTGTGTGACACGCTCCCCCAAACGTGAGAGAAATGCGTCTAATCCTTATTTGTAACAAAATGCATGATACCTACTTCATATTTAAAAATTTGTACGTAAACGTATAAATATGTTAAGAATAAAAGCTGGGTTTCGAGGTACCACGGATCACAGCTAATTTCTAACTGGCATTTTTCTTGAAATTTCTCTTGTTGTTATTTTATTATTCATAGCATCAAATGTTTGGTTAAAGAATCCTAATTAATAAATTTTACCGATATTAAGATCTTCAAATATTTATTTTGATTCTTAAAAGTCAAGGTATTTTGTTGACTTTTTTACTATCTACTAAATCGTAGTAATGATGATTCAAATACGCGAATTTGAAGAAGCACCAAACAGCATTACGTCAAGCATCCGTAAACGATTCTTCAGAAGAAACATATAATATCTCCCCATCCCTTTCTAAAGCTAAGTAGTACCAACATCTGCAGAGTACGGGGACGAGTAAGTACACATCTCCGTTTGCCATCAGTATTGAGTGGGAAGATGAGCGTTTCCTTACCTCTGATAAGCTCCCGCGTATATGGGAGCTTATTTATGCGTACACAGCACATATATACACGCGTGTATTTAATGATCCCGTTGACATGCAAAAGCCACAGCTCAGCTAAGACGGAACGATCCGAGTATTCAGATGAGGAAGGAGCGAAGGGGGGAGGGGCTCAATGTGCGCCTGATTGCGGTTTACACGGCACTCGATCACCACCACACCTGTGTTTGTGTTATTACTAACGTACACGTAGAATACACGTCCATTCTACATAATTTATGTTAATTCGGATAGCCTCCAAAACTTAGTATTTGAAAAATCGAAATGAATATACTTTAAATAGAAATGAAAACAGCTGATGGATAAGATTACCGAATTTACTTAAAATACCTTTAACGATGTTTGACGCGTAAATAACAAATCAAAAATAGGATTGGCATGTAGGAACGCCTATGCATGCACGTTGGAACAATATGTAAATGGCCAATCATCTCAAGTTTCATAAACAGCGATGCAGGTGTGATTACATCACTTTTGAAATGTGTTTTTTAATAGTTGATAATGTGATTAGGAAACATACATCAGAGTCTTAGCTCCAGCATCCGTGTCTATTAAGAATTGAGACTTGGTTGTCGAGGATAGACCTACGGGCGATTGCATTATGGGTAGGGTACGTACGTAAAAATCTATTTGTGGTCAATTCGAATTCAATACAGGGCGTAAATAAGGGTAATTTAATGGCTCATTGGCATTATTTCTCTTAAACATGATTATAATAATAGAGCTCAAGGCCATACAGGAACTCAGTAAATACGTCCTCTTTTCACAAGAGAACATTTGATCAACGTTTAATTCTATTGAGAATCTACTGAAATTCATGTAGTTAATGATTCAGACAAAAAACACTAAGTGACAGGAGCATCGCTATTTACTAAAAAGTATGTACTCAGTTGATCAATATTTTGCTATTTTACTAATGGCCTCTTCAGGATATCTACGTCTGGATATGAAACAAAATAATTTTTTCTTATCAAATATAGTTATTGTCAATAATTACGCTTAAATTAAGGAAACATTTTTTTATTGAAAAACAATGCATATAAGATTACAATGCAGATGCTATCACTTTTTTAATATCATTGAAGTAGATGATTTATGGGCAGACCCTTCCATAAAGCTAATACCATGTGTGGTGTATTTGAGACGATTGATGCACCTGCGAATATTTTACGGTGTTTACAGATGAATAACAGAACGATCGAGTCCTCTTAAAAGCCTTTGTACTGAGCCCTAAATGAAAGACTTGCATATTTGTGGAAAAAGTTAGGAGAAAAAATAGATGAAAAAAGATGACGTAAGGCTAGCACGTCTCACATTAAAGTGGTGAACGGAAAAGAAAGATAAAATTATGAAAGTACAAATTCAATCAAGTTTATAAAATATGCAGTTACTTCTTACTAGATCCAATTATTTAACATTTTTGAGAAAATTACTTGTGTCTCTAGCAAAAAACTGTCGAATATTAGATCTAAAAACTCATTACTTGTGAAAGAAACGGATTTATACAAAAATGACACATTACCCATGATTAGCACATATAATATGTTTTGTATAAATTTTCAATTGGTCCAAGAGCGAAGATACAATAATTTAAATTTTAACAAGAAATTGTGCCCTAAATCAAGAGTAACAAATTATTATTTTTTTTTTAGCAGTATGATTTTATTTCCAACGTAAAAGTTTTGTGCTAGAACCCTTAGATCAGGTATTGATAAATGATTTTTTTTTTGTTGATTAGTTCTTTTCTCAGCTTGCAATTAAAAATTTCTCGGGGAAATTTTAGCACTTATTACTACAAAGCTATTTGTAAGTATCTGAATATTGAAAAAGGGAGGAAGCATTGAAAGGTGTTTGTAGTTATTTCCACCTCGTTAGCAGTAATTGTCATTTCTCATTATTTCAACACTTAACATCTTAATACATTTACATACTTGCATTTTATAGAGTCCAAATAAGTTCAAAAATTCAACACTGATCCAACACCTATCCAAAAAGTATTGCTATTGTCCACTTATAAATCAATACTATCAAAAAAAAAAATCGTTGCATCTTGATCTATAACAAACTTATTAGTCATGTTTCTTTTCAAAGACCTGTAATATGTATAATGTTCATCTTTTCATTTCTTACAATTTAATTAATCACACAGTATGTACGTGCATAAAAAATCAATAAAGTACCAGAGGTAAACAACATTAGAAAAAACGTTCCAGGTGCCACATTTACTCACTCGCTGACAATGAGTTTTAAACGATAAACTCATGTTCCTTGGAATACTTTTTTAAATTGCGTTCGACATACCCCACCCCATTCCATATAATTTATCCCATCACCCTCGCCTATAATAGGAAATGCCGTTTTTATCTCAGAAAGGTCGATCATAACGTTTTTAATGACCACAGGACTACAACGACGACATCCGCCAGGAGCAGATGTGGGAGATGCAAATTCTGAACACGCAAGGCCGAGACGTGGGCCAGCAGCAACCCCTTCAGCCGGGAGTCGAAGCACCACTCAGTCCAGCATCCAGCCTTGAGGCGGCAAGTTCGCCTACTGCAGCCACGACTGCTAACTCGATCAGCGATGGACAGGAAGATGGTATCATTATGAGACCGACGCCCTCGCCACCACATGGCGCCAGTCTTAAAGCTCAACCTGGTGGCACGGGAATGCAGACTGCCACGGCGTCGACAAGTCTTGGTGAGCACTTAAAAGTTTTCCTTTGTGTTATTCAGTACATTTTTTGGTTTTAGCAGGGTGTTGTAAAATCAAATGAAAGTAGCATGACCTACGGTATATTACATGACTTGATACAGTACTATTATTTTTTTTACATGATTCCTGCTTAATTTGTAACAAAATTTATTTTTGGGTAAAGGCTGGCTATGTTTCAGTATCACGTGGTTTCTGTTTATGTTGCAAATTTCTAATGTAGAAATATTACTTTATACCAAAGGCAGTACAAAAAGAATGTCCCAGACCATTCAAAATTTACTAATGAATTAGCTTATTATTTCAGAAAAAATTAACAATTTTTTGCTAATTATTACAATATTTTTTGAGATTTTTTTTATTCAAAGTACAGTCAACAGCTCTATGTTTTGGCAGTCACGCCATTGTCAAGCATTTGATGTATACCAGTTTGTCGATACAAATACGTATTTACAACTCAAGAGGAAAGAACTTACGAATAATAAAAGAGTATTTACAAGTCCACCTCAGGATGAAAATCTTAGCTTTGGCCCTCACAGTTCCTTTCATAGAGTCGCACCCAAGCTGCTTACAAAGTTTTAAGCTCAGCGTTGTGATTTTGACATATATTTCAAGTGCCATCGATCTTACAAAATAAATTTTAAATATTTTAAAAGAATCACGACGTTACGATCATAACGTGATATCAATGTCAAAAAAGAACTTAGTATTTAAAACGTTGCAACTTATTGTCATCGTAATGATGAAGGTCCACCGTAAACTGAGATTTAATTTTACCTTATTGTAGAAATGATGCGACTTGAATGAGACCGTCACCTTTTGTAGTCCTCTTTACGGTTTACCGCAGACATACGAAATGTTATCAAGTACAGCATTGGCACAACGTAAACACAGCTTTATTTCCCAATGTGGTAATGTCATTTTCAACGTCCAAACAAAATCGTCTGCTATTAAGGTACCTGTCGTGTGGTGATATTTACGTAAAAGTATCCATAACATGAAAGGAATGGGGTCCCACTGACTCCTTGACTTTCTTCATCCATTGTCTAGTGTGACCATATTTCTTGCCTTCTTTCAACCTCGCTACCAATGTCTATAGGTTATTTTTCGAGCTGAGTAAAATCACATTTTATATTACTATCACTGCTTTTAAAATTATAGCTTTCAGTAGTCCTATTCTTGAAACATGGGTGATTCCTGTCTTTTTTTTTCAATGTTTCACATCTTCTTACATATCTGTCCGATACAAATATATTGATAAAACAGTAAACACAATAAGCTTATGTTTGTCAGACTCTCGTCTCGATGCATGAACTTCTTATCTGGAGTCACGTCCTCCTGTTCCACAAGAGTTATTCCCGATCAGAAATTATACCTTGGCTGTTACCCGGGTTAATGAATGCCTAGCTAGGGCCGCGTAACAGCCAAGGTACGATTTCCGATCGGGTTCGTTCCAATCGATTTTTCTTGGACTTTGTGAAGAATCATAAGTATCAATCTTCTTTCTTATCAATAACACTATGATCATTTTTTTTATACGAGATGCAACACATATATCATTGCAACGACTTTACCGGTTCACTCAACTAAAATGACATCGTTTGGTATTCCTTCTCGCAGTTATCAGTTATATACCTGAAATTCTCTACTTATGTCATTTCTTTTATCTTTCACCTAAAATTTAAGGTACATATGGTTCTTCATAATCTACTTGAATATCCGAAAAAGCTAACATCGCATTTAAAACGTTCAAAAAACGTCGTCTCTAAAACTCCATTACGTTTTTAAAAAGCTAGACAAAGAGACGCAAATGAGCTTAAAACGCTGCTTTTTACGACTAATAATTACTTCTGGATTCCTTTCGACGGGATTTAACACGAAAGTAATATATTACAATGTAGGGTTACCGTCATCTGGATTACAACAGTCATAGTAGGGGAGTGAGTATTTTTGTTATGGTTTTATTACCATAAAAATTACCAAAGTAGCGTATCATAACTGCTGACATTTATAATGAAATAGCTTGGTCCCCCACTTTAGACTTTGCTATTCAAATGCTAACACCCAAATACTCTACGATTTATCCTAAAATTAACGTATAAAGAATCTAGAGGTGATTCATCGGCGCAAAGATCAAAGGAAATTCGCAATGTTTTTGAAACGTTTTCAAAATTTAGAGATAACATTTTTTTTGTATGTTTTAATCGAAGTGCCTTCATGTTGTAAGGAACCCATAACTTTAACATTCATATTAAACTATTTCCTTGGAAAAGTAGCTACGAAACAGTCAAAAATAAACAAAAAAAATAGGTTAATACAATCGCTCGCCGCTCGGAGAAAGAGATAAAACGCTACGGCTTTTTTCGCGGAACGACTCGCCGTTCCCCAAAAAATTACGGACTTCAATCTTCCTTCGAAAGAAAGAACTTTTCGGAAACCCTTTAAAGACGGAATCGAGTTGTTCCAGTTTATTCAGCAGCAGTAGCCATAGCAATGGTAACTAATAGACCGATTCCGAGCCGGCAATTCGTACACGTATAATGCCTCGTAAACACAAAGTCGTCAGCCGGCCGGCTGTAAACTTTCGCCGCATAATCATCCCGTATGTCATTGGGAACTTGAAAATAAAGTTATTAACCGATGCTGATGTTGCCACTGCTACTGTCGTTACTTTCTTTCATCGACTTTTTCTCCTTCGTCCTGTTATTCTCGAAATTGCGCGAGCTGCACGGTCCAAGTACCGTTAAAGTTTCAAAGCCAACGATTGCACGCGCTACTTTGGCCACCGTACATCTTTCGGGCGATTCCGGCGCACAGATACAGATGTATCTTAATTAAGGGCCATTTGTTTTCAACGCAGCAAAGCTTTCCGCTTCCGTTCGTCCTTAATATTATCTTGATGGTAAAAAGCATGTGGCGCACTTTAACGTCTTATCTTCTACTTAATCGGACATATTTTATCGCCATCGATCTTCAATGTCCTCGGCTGCCAAAAGTAACATAAATATGCTATTCAGATGTCCAACATATACTTACTTTGTTGGTACTGAAAGTAAACGCAACGCATGAAAAAACTCAAGATTCATATTGTTTAAACTTATGATTGTGAATAAAAGTTTGTACAATAGAAATTACTGTCCAGAATAATGGCCAAAGTAAAAAGTTCCTAGACGGCGGAATGACACCAAATTACCATTCCAGCACAGTAATTCTTATTGTTTTTTCTCACAGTGTACATGCCAGTTCTCTATCAGCTTCTTGTACCGACATCAAATAATAAAGTAAAACAGTTGAACGACGAAGCAGATATAAGAAAAGTTGGATGGACAAGATTGTACCACCATCCAAAGGTTAAAAAAACTCTCTCAATTTCTCTGCCTCCTGTCCCTTCCCTACAACCAGTCGCTCGATCGATCAGTCATCTCGTCGTCACCGGCAACCCCATACACTTGGCTGCCTACCTACGCAAGACAAAGGCACCATTCAATTTCCAGCTACAGAATTGAGCAGTGGATCAAACGGACCTTCTCCGTATGTACCCACCTCAGCCTCGTTCCGTCCGAGACTCTGCATACGCGCGCAGACGCTTACAGACCGATTCACGTCAGCGGCCCTGATTGCTTGTGTTACCGTGGCAGACGTACAGGGCTTTGCACGGCCGGCGCTGCCAATTATCCCTCTCGGCCCTCTTTGTCCCTCAACCGGTGTGTTCCTCTGCATTACCTCTGTAAAATCTCTTTTTTGCGACTATCTGGCGTTCCTTACAGATTCCTCGCTAACCCGATGTGCAGATGGAGAGGATGATACGCGCAGGTAATGGCTTTCTTGAAATTCTCACCCACCCCTGCCTCGTTTCCCTCCCTCGTCGCGCATCGCTCCGGTAAATACGAAGAGCCCGGGGGCAGCTCCTCTCCGACTTCTACGTGTACCTCGAGTCAAGAGGAACACTTACCCATGCACCTATCCATCCATCCATCCATCTATCAGTCTAACTCGGAATATCGAAAAAAGCCCTCGAAGCGTGGAAAAGCGTCTCGCACACGCGTGCATGGAAACCCCTCCTCTTTCCACCGAGATGTGAGCCTTGAGTGGCCCGTAGCGATTTTCTCTCTCTCTCTCTCTCTCTCTCTTCCTACTTCAAAATGTATATGTCTCTTACGAGCCAGAGTCGAGCGCTTGTCGGACTTTGTTTGACCTTTTTTTACATTCGTACTTGAAAAAAAATTTTTATTACTATTGTTACATTCGTTTACACCCAAATCATTAATATTACAATGCTATTATTATTTGTATTATTATCGTACGCAAACACTGGAAAACGTCTGTGGATTTATGTAGGTATTTTTTTTTTTTTATTTCGTAACGAAGGGATGGCTGGGGCAAAAGAGTGTACCTATTGGAATCGAAATTTCAATGCATGAATGCGCATTCTGTTTGGCTATATCTTGTGGACGTACATTCTTCCGAACCTTTTCCCTCGGGTACACAAAAAAATTGCGAATAATATGCAGGGATTGAAATTTTTGTTATTTATCATGATTTGTGCAATAAGGCATTTGTAAGAATTTGAAAACTTTCTTTAACTCAATGATAGACTTGGCTTGTTTGTTCTCTTTGTGAAGATTATTGTTCCAAGTGCTTTCTTATCTTATTTTCTAAAAAGAGCTTTTATGTTACTTTTCTGGAGTAATGCAAGTAAGTCTTAATGATTTTTAACAAATTATGCTGCAAGCTAAAAATTCTACGTATACTTACACTGACGAATGTTTTGTTTCCGAAATGTTTTATAGAGTTCTTGAGCAATATATATTTATAACGAATCTCTTTAATTTCATAACGAAGGTAACTTGGATTGATTTTGTCTTAAAATTTGCTAAAGCCAACGCAGGCATTATTCAAGCTTCCTCGAACTTTTCGAATCATAACATCGTTAAAGTTGATAACTCAATTACTGTATCACATAATTGTATTTGTTTTTACCTTGACGATAGCACTCTGGTACTCTCTTTAAAACAGTAGTCCGTATACATATGTCTCAAGATTACATCGATCGGTTTAAATGTGCCTAGACTAAGTGTAACTGGTGATCTTGCAATTTTCTTTTAAATTCGACGGATTTGAATTATTTACTTGCACGATTAAAAACTTTGTGAAGACAAGCTTACTGATACACAAAAAATTTAAAATTATTACTGATATTGTACTGCACTGATTTGAAATAACACTTTTTTATCTGTTTATCACATAGCTTTCGCTGGCTGTCTTTACATGCACATTAAATGCCTATTATTACACTATTAGCTACGTAGTATTAAACGTAGATAATACGTATATGTAGAGCTTACCTTTTTAAAAGACGCATAAGCTTTTTCAGTGTTCAGCCATCTGGATTACAGCTCGTATCCAACCACGAAAAGTATGTCTTTCATTAGTACTTGATGAACTATGTAAAATCGTGTGATACTTATATATATATTTGTAGTCTTACATATTTTATACGTAGTGAACGTAAATCTCAAAATATACTTTTAATCTTTTTGTGACATGAGATAATGCCTGTTATTTGTTCAACAGTAAATCCTACTTAACACAACAAAAAATTCAACGATCAACGTATTGGATAATAAAACAACGACCAAATCCATTGTTAATTTTGAAGTAGCAAGGTAAGCTTATTTTTCTTAACTAAAAACTTTTATTTTTTTTTTTTCATTTTTAAAAGTACCATAAATGTCAATTCCACAAAAAATCGTGTGATCTAAGCGAAATATAATTTAGTTTTTTAACCATTTTTCGTTAGTCTCATCCTACTTGAAATATTGTATTACAAATTTAGTTGTAGAAATGACATTTCCGTACGGATTCCATGTACTTACGTTCGGGCAACCAGAAAAAGATACTTTCTATCCGCTACGTATATGTGTGTATGTATGCAAAGAGACATACCTTAGGATTTGTTCAACAATTTTGTTACTTTAGGGCAGACAATTTTATTCTTTTTTATCGTAATTCAGATATTACATGTATTATGCAATGATAGATAAAAGCACGGCATCATCTTCTAAATATAAGTTTCAAGTTAAACAAAAGAAAAATATGTCCAACGTACGTTAAATGATACCGTATTTTTTCTCTCAATTGCGTATAGAATTATTTGCCTTCCTCCTAGAAGAAAACTGTGTTCACTGCTCATTAGTAGATTACTGTAACGTTTCTGAAGCAGACTCAAGTTTCCTCGAGATCCTTTTAAAAATTTTGCAGACAGAAAAATTATCCCAAGTGTTTCAAAGCAGAACAAAAAAATTTCTTGATATAATTTCTTGATACAAATATTTAAGATAAAACTAAGGAGATTGTTTCTCCTTCAAAAAACATGAGAAGCTTTAAAAATCAGTACTTCGAAAACTGTGCACTGTGAACCTCCACTAGAGTTTTTATACTTAATAAATTATTATCATAGTAAAATCGACTTGAANTTAATTAATTTTTTTTTTATTTTTTATTACAGTTGAATGAAATTTATGTATCTCAGAGTAATACAGAAAATTTTTTTAATCAACATTGCCGGCTGGCATTCTAGACGTAATGGTTTATTGTCATACTTACAGTTTTAGTATAGATAAAAGATTTTATGTAGCCAAACATTCTACGTGTAAGTGGGCAGCAAAAGAAATGAAACAAAAATAAAATTTTATGAAAAATGTGCCCAGAAAGGGCATTAATTTTAAATTGCATTTGTTACGTAAATACAAATGAAAGTACGGATCATTTTGCAGAAAAAATTAAAAAACAAGCTTGATTAAAAAAAAACACTATTATTTGCGCTACGCAAGGTATTGTGTTAAGCCAATCGAGGTAAATGACGGTACAAACACTTTGAGAGGAATGAAAAAAAATACCATAAATGAGACACCCTTTTCTTTCGCTCCTTAGGTGTCTGATTTATTGTTTATCTTAAAACCCCATAGATTCACGAGAAAATAATACAATCGAATTTTTAGATTTCTGAATCATTCGATGCATAAAATTAGAATTATTAATACAATTTTCGTGAATTATTTGAATAAATATTTAAAAACACTTTTTAAGTAGCGTAAAAATAACAGCAACCATTCATTAAAAGAGTAAATAAAAATAACTTCTATTGAAAATCTTTAAACCTATTTACTCTGTGCGAGTCATTAAAGAAACGGACTTACGTCGAGTGCGTCACTTCTCATGAAAATTTCCTAAATAATGCTGACAACGATCGTTTTCATCTTAATTTTAACCAAAATATTATTGTAAAAAATGAATCATGGGACATCATAGAAATGAAGCCAGAATTAATCTTGACTGGCGCAAATTGTAAACGTGTTGATGAATGAAATTGTATTGTACGAAACCCAGATACATCACCCGAAATCAAGCGCGACGGCATCGTCATTTTTCACTCGAACAATCACGGATCTGAGTAAGCAACTTTCGCTCGGAACTCCCTTTGGCTATTACTAGTGAAAGAGCTTTTCTCTCAACTTTGACAATTCTATCGATTAACGAACGAGAAATACAGGGAGGAACAAAAAGAAGAATTTTATTTTTCGGTACTGGTTCGCTATCGCCTCGGGAAATGTGTCACCCGATCGATTCAGACGCAACACACGACTTTTTATGGATATACCGCTGCAAAGTCCTATTTTTTCGTCAATTTTTTTTTTTTTTTTCGTTACTTTCTATTTTTTATCGAAAAATGTGATAAAAATTTCGTTTGAATCATTACTCCACAAGATTTGATAACCTCGTGTTGCTCGGTTGTTTGCTGCTTCCTCGCAAACATCTTTATCGTACACGAAATATTTTTTATTTTTTTTTTTATTGTGAATTTTACGGAAGCTCACTTCCATCATGACATAATTTACGATGCGAAGAAAAGAAATAAAAAGGACTGCTACGCCAAACAAGATTTATGAATCGTACATAGCAGATGATGCAAGGAGTTTTCCAAGCTCGATTTCCAAACCGCACAATTGTAATCACGTTTGGTTATATTTTGCTAGAATTGATTGCTTGAAGAACGTATTAATTGGTTGGAAAAGCAGTGCAACGGAGGGATAATTTTACTTTTATCTTTAAAAGTATCGAATTAAAATGACAACGTTTATTTTGGCTGCCATATGTATTAAAAACGCAATGGATGTTTCAAAAATACTAAATAGAAATTTGTTTGAGAAAAAAAAATTATTCTCAAAACAAAAAATTATTTAGCAACAATACAGCAATATTTAAAGCAAAGTAATAGTTTCTTACAGTAACAAAAATAAGTACCTATTTCAAACCATTTCATCATGTACCGCAAGTATTTCAATTCCGACACACAGTTGTACTAAATTGAAATATTTAATAAATGTGGACGTACATGATAAATATAATGTAATCATGCTTTACTACCATATTTTACATTAAATTTTATCGAAAGTTTTAAATTAATATACGTGAATTCTGATTTTGCAGATTTAACAAGAATTTAATTGTTTTATTTAAAAAACCAAATTTTAAATTAAAAAATTGAGACACCTTAAAAAACGTGTACATGTATAAATATACATATATTATACTGTAAATGTATTTTTAATAAATACTTGTTATTGAAAATACTCTATGTAAAAGAATATAAATAAAGCAATATTTAAAATAATATTTACAGTACTGTGTTTGAAAATCCATAAGCTTTAATTAGCTTATTTAAATAAATAATGTAAGGGTGCGTTCAAATAGGCCTTTTTTTTAAACACGTTGAAAATTGTGTATTTTCTTTTACCATTACTCTTAAAAGTTATAAAATGATCAAATTATTTTAGTTATAGTTAAGGTAAAGGGTTTTCTAGCATTTGAAATACCTTCAACACTGCTTCTATTTGTATATAAATTATATTACAGAAATTATGTTGGCTCATCTCCGTAAATGCGTGTGAAAGCACAAGGACATCATAAAAAAATGTTTTAAAATATCGCAATTTTTTAGTCATCCTCAAACATTACTTGGTTAATTTTCATCAAGTTGTTCTATCAAATACACATAATAGAAAACTGCCACTGCAAATGAAAAAAAAAAAAAAAAAAGAAATAAGACCAACTGTTAACCAAAAACCGTTTGTCCTTCACACCTTTCAGGTGGCCGAAAACGACCTCTACTTCCAGGCGGCCGGCTAGCCATGTCCCCGACCAAGCGCACAGTGATGTCCCTGCTGGCGCGCGCCCGAGCCGCCCAGAATAAGGAACCAGCATCCCTGCAAGCCCCGGCGACGGTATCACTCGTCGGCGCCCCCCCACCACCGCCCAGCCACCAGGTCCAAGCAGCCGCGGTGGCGGCAGCGGCAGCCGCTGCGGCCGCGTCTCCGCTCATCCAGGCGACGCTACAGCTACCCCACAGCGCGGCCCCGGCACCCCAACCCCAGCCCACCGCCGTGGCCACGACCCAGCAGCAGGTGACGCAGCTCCAGCAGCAACTCGCCGCGGCCGCCCAGACGATACCTCAGCGCCAACCCCTCATGCAGTCGCACACGCAGCACACGGTCTTGGCGCCAGCGATTCATGGACTCTTGCACGCCCAGTAAGTATCTCAGCTGCGCTCACGGGGAATTTTTTTTTTTTTTGTTTTCATGGACTTAGAAATTTATTTTTTCTACTTATATTAAATCTACTCATATTAAATTTCCTAAAAAATCGCGTGGTAGGGTTATCGTAAAATAAATTCAAAGATTTTTTTTTTTTGCCACGATTGGTAAAACTGTAACAGTTGAGTGACAACTATAAATAATTATTGATGCAAGTCACGCTAGGAAATCAATGCATGTGATGGTATAAGCGTGTAAATTGATCGCCAGTAGAACAAATCCGGTTTGGTCAGACAGTCCGACCTTATCGAACGTATGGCACACAAATGATTGTACATACGAGTATAAACGTGTCCGTCGTAAATTTAGATTACGTGCGGGCGTTTTGACAGCGGAAATTTTTAATTTTCAAGAACGACGGAAATTAAAATTCAAACAGGGTGTACGCACGACGATCGCGTGCAATCTTGATTCAGAAACGGCATTAATTGGCTCCGCGCGAGCTTCGATGGCTTTTAATTGAGGCAATTTGAATAAAATGAAACACCGCGCTTGGAATTGTATTATTGCGAGTTATTATTTTTCGCGTCGAGAAATAAATTTTAAAGGAACTCTGGCTCCATCGTCGGCTACCAATTACCGCTGCGAGATACATGATGCATTTATTTTTAATTAACTGAAAAAAAAAAAAAAAAACAGTTTTAATGAACTACTCGACATTATCAGCGTAGGAAACAATGTATGCGTGTTCAAGCCGTAACATGTACCCACATGAACATCAAAGCGCTCTAAAGTACACGTGGACAGACTTTTGTTGAATAATGTTGAATTGATCGACAAGACGTGTCTCGTGATTCTACTTGGTTGTATCGTGACTCTCGTGTAGAGATCGCATTAAAAAATTGGAACTCACTTACCCGCATAAATGGTTAATAGTATTTGTTGATTATTTTTAAAAAATAGCAATTGTGACAAATACTGTCATGAATTTCAATCTATTTCGTGGTGTCGTGATGCACGTGTAACATTTGTACGCTAGTCGAGATTGCTTGCAGCCATGTTACAAACATCTCACTCTTGCACCATTTACACCTTTAAAATAACAATTTAACATAAATGTCCAAGTGTGCTGATATGTAGGACAGGCATAGAATAAAGTCAGTGGTTTTTTACGTATTGGACAATAGAGTTTCCTCGCAAACTCGTACTTACGTGGTGAAATTTCAGAAATTAATAAGACACTAGAAACAAAGTTTTTGCTGATAACAGCACTAAAACTAAAAACCGTACGTATTGAAGATAGTCATGGTCTTTAGTTTTGTCCAACAACTTTAAATTAACCTGGACCACACGCTCTTTCACTTTAATCTTATGAAAAGGTACACAAAAGCAGAGTAGTGGCACGGAAAACTGTGAAATTCGTATTTGTTCTAATTGTAACTTGGAGTCAAATGTGCCTCAAACTATGCTTTAAACAAGAGTAAAGTCAAAAATACCTACGAATATCAAAGTTTGGTAATATTGTTCCGAAACTATTTAAAATTTTGCGTTTCAACTGAGATGAACATCAGTCCATTGCGCCAGCAGAGCTAAAATTGATGCTCGTTTCACCAAATGCCGCATCCCGAATAAATTAAGTCACCTCTAAAATCGGAACTACATCGTTATCCCTGAAATCGGTGTGATTTTATCACGCCATCTGCGCTCTTTCCTACAAGTATATTTTCCTATTCAACAAACGCAACCCCGCTCTCATCCGCGTACCCCTCTCGTAACTTATACAGCTGTGCCCATCGAATCGTGCGTTTTTACCCGTCCACTTCGGGCCATAAAATCGAGCCGCGACAACAGTGGCAGCGCCACTTTATTGTGTATCGGCTTGAAAATTAATCGTGTTTATCAAAGTCGAGAGCTCGCCAGCAGCGGAGCGCGAGATAGAACGCGGAGGAGGACTCCCCGCGTACACTCGACGCTGACAATGAGGCTCGCGACCTCGTTGCCGCTGCCCCGTTATTGTTGCTGCTCTTGTTTCTCACCACTCTCGCCTCCACCCCACCCCGTCTCTCTTTCGCCCTGTATACCAACTGACTGTGTACAATTCGCAGGCGCCAGTGTATCATACACGCACGCAACATCGATACGTGGGTGTATATAACGGTACATTTATAAATATATATGTACGTAACCACCAGCGTGTGTACGGGCATTCCGGTGCTTGTTAAGAAAACCGCGTAAACAGGGACACGCAGTAGTCAACGTGAACTTCGTATCCTGCTCGTTGGCCACACCACTGCTCTACTATGTATATACATACATACTACGTGGACGCGCGCACGCGATAATGACTCGTGAGTCTCTTTTCTGGCCTCGTGGACACCGTGGCTCTCCGTGGAATCCATACGTGTATTGGGTGTTGGAGCTGGCCCTTTGTTTTTGGGCTGGAGCCATTCGAGGTAAACAATTTGAATTTTTATGTTGCTGAGAATGTACAGTTGGAGGTCTTGTAAGGAAGTCAACCGAGGCGCCCGTGATAGCGCGAAGGGAATGCAGCCAGAGACGTCAACCGATTCTTATTTAAGTTAGAAACCAGAAAAAGACAAACCAAAGTGCTTGTAAATATATCCGCGGATGTTTCTGTTAGTGACGCTTTGTCCAGGTGTGAAAGATAAAAGTCGTAGATGGTGAAGGAATCGGAGCATTCGCCTATGGGCAATACAAATGTTAAAAATTACCAGGGAGTCATCAAGGCATCTCCTCGGTCAATTTGGTCATTTAAATGTGAAATTGATAAATCACCGAGCATACGCTAATAACAGATGTATACTCGTCTATAACAGTTACATTTCCAGCAACTCATGACATATGCACTCATTTTTTTATCAGCTAAAACGTTCACGGCTCACGCGAGCCCTTACATAAATATTCAAAGATATTTCGCACTTTTGATCATTATCAAATTAACAGCACAAAACAACAGACTGTTTTTTATTTTGTTGAAAATTGATAACTAAAGCTATAGTACTATACTGCAAATGTCCAGAAATTACCTTATCCACTATTTTTCTTAAATGTTTATCAACACTGTAGTTATTTAATAATTGAAATTACGTACGACTCCTACCCTCACTTTCTATTACTTTGGTCGATAACTTGATAGAAAAATATGTATGTTCATCGATAACAACGATTGTATTCAATCTTTCACAAATTTCAAGTATAATCGTAGATATGACTTTGCAGCTTAAATAGAGGAAAATTATTCTAAATTCTTTCTTTTCTTGTGTGTAAAAAATCAATAACAATTTTTATGTTATCATTTCGGATTGTTTTGCTGCTTGATTGTCGCACAGAAATCAACAAGAGGTGGCGCGTACATGGTTATTTCCTTCCATTGCGTATTTATGCGGTAAGAGTGTGCATGACTTTCAATTTTTTATTCGTGGCCATATGTGTGATTGATCAACGATTGTTGGTAGAGATTTTCGATAGTGGGACGAAAGCTACCAATTAACGAACATTTTCACTTTTTGGTAACATATGGTTTACTTAGCGGCGTACCTGTTTTCATCATCATGATTCCAAGATTAGCTGAACGATGTTTACAAGAAAACGCCTGTCGATGGTAGTCCTTGTACTTAGTGCCTATACTGTTTGACTAAGCGTAGGATTAGAGCATAAGCCTAAGATAGCAAGTCGATCTAGGCGTTAGCTTATTCCTAAGTACTTTGAGAGGGGAGATGGATAACACAGGGGGTAGGGATTACGATGGACTCTTTCTGTCAGTGAATCGAGTCAATGTTTGGTCAGACGTTGTTTCACGAATCCACGAAGTGAAGAATCTTACTAATACTGTAGTTTAATTTGAAAAAATTGTATAGTACTGTTCAAGATTGGTCAGTAGTGTTCGTCACAATCAATATTTTAAGTGAAAAAATCAGCTAGGGATAGTTGAACAATTTTCTATTTGACACATAATTGTACATCTCAAGTTACATCTATGTTTTTTATCATAAAAAATACATTTTTTTTTTTTTCCTAAAAATGCAATATAAATGATGTATAAGTATTTATAAAAAAAAAAAAAATAATCACCGTAATAACGTTGTTATCCATCCATGTACGTATTCGCGTATTTATTGTGTTCTCTCGTGCCCTGTTTTTCTCGCGCGCTTAGCTTTATTTACATTCCAGCCATTGTCTGACACCTCTAATCTTTATTGCCCTTCCACGCCGACGCGTAACGTGTTATTTTATCGCCTCTGCTTTACCCGGCGAACAGTGAATGATTTTTTAAATACCTTAGAGATTTAGAAGAGATTTTTACCAACACGATTTTAGTGATGTTATCGATTTCGTTGTAATAAATCATGATAAAACACTACTTTTTTTTCAGTAAACAATGTGCTTTTAAATCAAGGGGCACTTCTACCGTACCAAAAACAATAGTATGACGCATCCCCGAGGGCAAAAGTGCGACTTTTGTTTCTGAATGGTTAACGTCCGAGAAACAAAGTTGTACTTTCACTTTGTATGTGGCGGTAATTAATTTTACCATCCTCTGCGTGGCTGCCACATTCCGCTCGGAAAAAGTTAAAATACTTTACTAACAAGTCGTAAATATGATTTTCAACTCAACCCAGAAATCAGCAAAAAACGTCGAACTTTCATTGTGACACAAAAAAAAGAAAATTGTAAAACACATAATAACTTAGGAATAAAGTACCATAAATGCACTTGCTCATAAAAGAAGCACAAAGTGTTTGTCGATTTACACGTGTACGTGATTTTTTTAAAACTAATTCTCATTGTTATTTATTACCAAAAAACTTCATCTGCGAATAATTGCCACCTCTAAGATTCGATCAACATCCAGTTCATGTGACGTATATAATTATAGTTTTCACAACCCCCCTTTCCTCTTATGGGCCGAATAATGCAATCAAGTGAATGCATTAGTCGCCTGGATAGTGTTTTAATGTTTGATCAATGGCTATGTACTAATAGCTCGATAATTATATTTGAACAGGGCGTAATTTTACTTTAAAGGAGATGGATCAACGCTACGGTCAGCCCGAGCACTCGCAGGAGGCGGGAAACCTTTTATAACTTTCCAACTTGCTCGAAATTACGAAAAAAGGGCTTGCACAAAAATTAATACTTCGGATATTGGAGAGGATAAAAAGTGGCATGTACTTTTGTTCGAAGTCGATGTAATTTCACGTATGAGGGACTACATACAGATGTGGGAAAATCAGTTTAGTATATCTACAGGCTTATTTACAGGAGGTCGGGAGTTTGATGTAGATTTATGTATATGTATGTAAATTGTGATATTCAGGTTGATTGGAATCAAAGAATTTTCATGTAACAACAAACATTGGAATATCAATTAGCTTGTTGACGAATTCAGGCTATTGCGGTTATATTTACTGAAGAAATTCAGATATTTGAGGGACGGTAACTCAAGTTATTTTGAAACAATAATTACGTTGTAGTAACTGAAGAACAGCAGCAACTATCGTGTTGGGTTAGAGCAAAAAAGAATCTTTACATATTTCCGAGAAAAAAAGAGTCTAATAATTTTTTTTTCCTCTAATTTTAAGTTGGTAGTGCATACTTAAATGATTGACGTAGTATAAGGGACAATTTTTGAACATAGCTATAAAGTTAGTAGACTTAAAGCATTTGTACATAATACTTTGTACATTAGTAAGACAATTTTATAATTAATACCAATATTAAACGAGTGCATCTAACCACATAAGACAGTAATTTACTGTGGATCTTTCATTTTGTACGACAAATAGTATTAGTTATACTTGGAGGCTTTAATCACACGACCCAAGGAGCTTCAGACCTTTTCTTTCGTAAAACGCAGTGATTTGTGTTTTTATTCGATAGAGTCTACGATCTGTATACCATTGTTCGTCTGAATTCGTGGGTTGTGCTTTATTTTGCTAGATCTTGTGAGCTGCACTGTTTCTGGCGTGAGGTGTCGATTTTATTGTACAATATCGATGTACCAACGTATTAATTGATCAGTTTTGTCGACTAACACACAAGATATCATGTTTTTTAGATGCTTGAATTTAATATGCCTCAAATATACTAGTCTTACAACTACATGAAAAAATTTTCTGCCTATATCTTTGTTCCTTCCGTTATTTAAATGTGTTCTACCTATCGGAGGAAAAAAGTTTTATTTAAAAAAGCTTTCTCTTGCGATAAGTTTTGATGAGTTTAATTTCGTAGAATATAGTTGTTTGGAAACATTTTCAGTACACGCTGCGCATGACCGCTGTGACATGAACACCATAGCAGAAAGATAAAGCTCCCATAACTTGACTGAGTAAAGTAAAACGATCCACCACCTCAACTTAAGTATACCACCTCATTGTTCTCAAGGCACTGCCCAAGAACCGGAAAATTCCCGCCAATTCCACTACGAGGATCGAAATTTCAAAAACGCAGCACCCGCTCTTGAAAAATCAATACATCTCTCCAACCGTCCTGATTATCTCTTTGGGAAAAAAGCATAAATTCCCATCGATACCATCCAGCTTAACATCCCTACATCAGCCCCTATCTGCGCTCGTCACTCGAAAGATCATAACTAAACACGCGCAAACTCTAATCCCTTCGTCGCAGCTAGCTTGCATCCTTCCCTCCCTCTTTTTCACTCGCTTCCTCTGTATCAGTCTGTCCCAGCAGCACGTTTAGACGTACATGAACGTTGTACCATTGTAAGCTAGAGAATCTCCGGTGTCTTTACTAAAGGCAACAGGAGTGACTGCGGCACGCCTATATGTACAGGTACACTTGTCGACATCCCGAGGATGCAAGAACCCCCTGTGATGAAACAACACACGTGTCGCCACCAGCTCATTTATCTATCATTCCCCACACACATCATATCGGTACTCATTGCGATTCGGTTGAACACATGTATTATGTAAATTATACGCCATGGATAAAATCATTAAATACATGTAAGCACAAAGGATATTCTTGATTGGCAAGTGATACCGGCGCGCGTCGCCTATGACTACTGTTTCAGGAGAGCTGCCGCCGGGGCCACGGTCCTGCCGATCCTGCGCGAGGACTTCATGGCCGGGGTCAACCAGCACCAAGTCCAAAACGTCCACATCGCGTGAATCATCGACCCGAGCGTCCACTGAGCCGTTGCCGCAGCCGCTACAGCCGCCTTCTGAGACGTCACGCGTTGTACCACTGCAGTATACATCACCGCGCATAATACCCGAGCCGTATGCGATCAAACTTCTCTCCTGTACACGTGCATTTCGTGGTACAGCTGCTGTTGACGCTACGGTTGCGCTCACCGCGTCCTAGGGCGACGTATAGCGTCGTTGCATCTCTGCAATTGCTGTTGCATGCACACAACGAAGATGAAGAGGAAGGAGGTGGGCGCGCTTACCTACACCGCAGAGGGCACCCATTGATCGTGCAAATCTCTCGGAGAATCGTGCTTCTCGTCCTCCCTTCTGTCACTTTTGCGGGGCGCGATGTACAGCCCACTCGCGTGCGTCGAACTAGTGTATACACACCTGCGTACACGCTCTTCTTTTGTTCCGTGTGTATACGTACGACATAATACAACGTGGGACCGTGTGTTCATAGAAGTGTGAGAACGATCTGCGTAGGAATACTGAATGTATCGTTGAATTTTTGTATCATTTTTTTTTTTTTTTTCCTTCTCCTGGTGCTGCTAACTCGAGGTGGACCAACAATGACCATCGTTGACCTCTCACGGGGTGTTGCTGGTAAAGGTACATTCGTGGCCCTATTGTGAAACACAATCTAATGGATTGCGAGGATATCTATTAATTAATTAACGGATGTGGGTACTTTTCTGAAAGAACTTCAGAGGTCTTTGGTAAAAACGCTAGAAAATGCTAGAAGAGCATCGATATTTTGGCCTCGCATACGAAAAATACCATGATTTCATTGAGCAAAAAATGATCTGAAAAACTGAAAAAATCAATACTAGAAACTTTAGTATCGATTTTCACTTGATTAATATTTAAAATACATGTTTTTTTTTTTTTAATTTCTTGTTTTTCATGCATAAATTACTACAAAGGCATGCATGAGGTTTACCATACCAGCTCACCTTGATAACAGGTTTCTACCATTTTTCATGCATTCATCGTATGTTTTTGCAAACAATGGAATGGTCTTGTGGTCAAGGTATTCAAAAGGTTCGAAAACATATTTGAAAGTAAGTGAGTGCACTTTTCGGAATCGACGCGTGTTATATTGTCATCAATTGCTTGTTTTTTATAATGAGTTACAGACAATTGATGATCCATCCAATGTTTCTGCATACTTGTTAACTTGAAACAATGCACTTTTTTTTACCGAACCATGAGACAAGGCTTTTGAGATGGAGAACTGAAATCGAGGAAAACTGTATTATACATGCATGCCCCTAATCACGGGTTGTCAACAGTTGTTGAATATTCACGGGTTATTGTTGGCTCAACACGAGTTGTATTCACGACAGTCAAAAGCCATCCAACGAAGACAAGCTCATTGTCTGGGCGAACGCTTGGGGGAAAAAAAGAATGGTGTCCGTAACGTGTACATATAATACGTATTTGATGTGGATCGACGATGGCCCGGCGCAGACGGACGTGACTCACACGCAAACAGCCCCGAGCTGGCAATGAGTTTTCTTGGTTGATTAAAAGATGGGAAAGAGAGTTTGGGAAAGTATAGAGAGCCGAGCGTCTTAATTGTGAGCGAAAGTTTCTCGAGCAATCAAAAGAAGAGAGAAAAAAATATGAGGGGAGGAGGAGAGGCCAAAGCCGGCAAAGCAAACTTGACAGTGGTGTAATGCCAACAGTGTAAGATAAACTTCCGAAGGCCTGGAGCCTGAATCCCCCTCCCCTATACGCGTCTCGATGTACGCAGAGAGCTCTCTTCTCACTCCCATTCCTCACTTCCTCTGTGTTTGTATTAACTTATGTAATTTCAGCGCACTCGACTCGAAACTACTACCACGTATATGTATACATATACAGCTCCATCGTCTTATTCTCACTTCGCTGGCTGCACTTGATTTCTTCTAGATGTAGTTTCTTTTCTTTCTCTCTCTCTTCTTTTTCATCGCAAGAAAATATAAAGTTCCCGAGTATTGCGTGGCGTCGATTCCGTTTTTTTCGCTCTTAATTCAACAAGGAGTGATTAAAGTCGAAGTGCCATCACGTTTTCGCGAAACGTCGTTAATGGAAAACAACATTTATAGTAGAAACATTTTAAAATTGCGTGGAAAAAAGTGGATTCTATTTACTTCCCAAAGTAGATTATCGAAAAATTTTGAAAAAATTATTCTTTTTTTTCTTTTTTTTTATCAACAAAATTTGACAAATGTACAGCTTATGAATACTCAGCTGTGAGAGGCTTATGACATCAGAGTACAGTGATTTTAGCTATAAAATTACACATAAAACTATTCATGCGTAAAACTGTTTGAAACCGTTTTTTTAGATGTGTTTCCCATTTCGATGAAATCTGGTCATGAGTCATGGTTGTATGTGGCCATTTGAGGGTCATTTTTCAAGTATTTGTTTACGTAACATCAAAGCTTAAAATCATAATTGGCCCATCATGTCATGATTCTAAGGTATTATAGTTCACTGACTAAAAAATTATTTTTTTTATTTTACTCTTGAGGTTATGTATAGGTGTAGAACACATAAAATTTGTTGTCTTTTTTCCACAAATCTTGTAGTACGTGAGGAAAACTTTTATTCATAACTATACAGTAGCTTCTTACAAAGAAAAAGATAGGTACTAAATTAGAAAGTTAGTCAGAAAAAAGCCAGAAAATTTTGTGCGTCTTATAGATAACCTCAAAAGTAACATAATAATCTATTTTCTGGACACATAACCTCTAAGATCCTAAAACGTTGTCAACGTATGAAATGAAACTACTCTGTAAATTTGGTTTTTTTTTTCAAACCTTTAATCCCAAAAAAATAAGCACTTCGAAATATGCACGATAATCATTTTTTTTTTTTTACAAACATTTATATATCAAATAAAAATAAATTTTTCGAATTCGATTTCCATGAGTTCCACAGAAGTGTCCAATATTGTAACGTGCATTCATTTTTTTTAACCGTACATACATGTTCATCGATGTTAATTCAGGTACATTTCATGATATTAGAAAATATAACATTAAAATTGTACTTTTAAAAAAAAAATAAAAAAAAATAAAAAAACAAGTATGTTTTTTTTTCAATGCATGCCAAGATGTATGTCAATCACTAAGGACCAATTTGCACTTATTGCGCTAACTAGATTAAATAATTAAAAAGCTACATCATTGTATGAATATTACTGTTATCCACGATAAATATAAAGATCACGATAACTTCAAACAACATTGCTCAACGATGTATTGAAAATATCTCTGATGAAATTCATTTTGTGGATAGAGGGCATGTGAATACTATATCTGAAAAAAGTGGTTGTAGCGAAGAAAAGTGGACTGATTACGACGACTAGAAAAAATTAATTATAAAATAATAATATACGTTAAAACTATGAAATTTGAAGGATATCTCTGCGATACAGCGTTAACTTGATACGTGAAAAACACATTACTGTGCGTGCAGTGTATAATAATATAATAGCCAGTATAATATTTAAATGTAAAAATAAGCAGAAGACAATTGTTGATTTACGAGAAAAAAAAGGAATTATTATTTATAGAACGTGACGACGAAACTATGGTTCGCTAATATTATTAAAAAATGTTATAAAATAATATAAAGGAATACACCCATTAAGAATGCCAATATAGTAGATGACGATAATCATTCATGTAGTACATATTCTATACTTAATATTTTATTTATTGTGTATATAAATATAATAAGCCAAATTAACAAAAATCAAGTGAAGTATACCAAAGAAATTTTATAGTGCACATTTTCGTTTATCTTACTTGCTGCGTTTTCCTTTTCTTATTGAAACATGGATAATATATTTTTCTATTCGCATATAAATGATTCATCTTATTCTTGTCACTTATCGTATTCAATCGCACGTTGCGATTATCTATCAATCCATTTTTAATCATCCCGATAATGCCTCATACATTTTCTCTTCAATAAAGAATTGTAAGCGACAGAGAATAAAAGTAAACAACGATTTCTTTAGTATCAATTTATTGTTAATTGCAAAATACGAAATCACAAATTAATGCTTAAGATATAAACATATTATAATATTACAAAAAAAAAAAAAAAAAAAAATGCGAGCGAGCCGCACACATACTGCAAATCCAAATGGAATTGATGCAATATTATCATTTACCGATTAGTATTTATATAATCGAGCAGATAATCGATAATTTTCGCCAAGTACTTATATATACGCATTAACTTTAAGCGGCACATCATGCATTCACGTAAACTTTCACGATTATTATACATATTGCATTACGCATATGTACACCTAATACCGTATTACATCTGCATATTCACGTACACAGAAATGATAAGAGAATGCTAGTACGCATGTACATACGTATGAGCGAGAGCGAACGAGCGCTTGTTGCTCATCATTTCGCGTTGTCGCCTGCAATGCACAAAGCCTGTTATGTTATACGAGTATACAAATATATTACATATTACATACGATTGAGTTTAAGTCAGCCGGTGCATATCCACTGACATTAAGCCAAGTACAAGAGCGAAGGATTAATATGGAGGAGCTCTTTAAAAAAGAGGAATGAGTCAAAGCTTGGGCATTGATTACGTATAGTCCAGGTCGTAACCTGGAATTTGTTGAAAAAAATAATTGGATTCGGTTTTTCGCATTATCTCTGGAAAAATAATCCCTTGGAAACAGATGTGCATGTTTCCAAGTCTAAACGTTAGTTCAAGTTTAAAAGTTCGAGTCTAAAAGTTGTTTAAGCAAAATTTTTCAAGCAAATTTCAAAAATTGTTTATTATACCCCAAAAAATGCGCTGCTGCAGAAGAGCCATCATGGTATTTCAAATGTATATATAGATATACAAATACATATTCATATCTACTATTCTTGTATGTATTAAGAATATAATATGTGTACAACTGTACAGATGCAGTCATAAGCCTTATGACAGTCATGACTGTATGCTGAGCAAGTGAGCAGCCTCGACTGCATGAGCCGAGTCGACTTATGTACGTGTAAACAATGACGTGACGATCATTATTAAGTCTAAAGACGGTCAACGCAATACCTATATATTTATTGTAGACGCCATGATAGCTCTTCTACAGCAGCGCTGCAGGCGGCAGAGCTTGAGGCCAAACATTCTCATACAAACATACAAACTAGACCTGTACATTTATGGTTTTCGGTCATAATATACTACTTTTTATTAGCCGAAGAGGACCCAAAACAGAGTTGAAAAGCAAGGGATTACAATAAAATAATAGCCTAAAATGCTTTCAGAATAATATATGTTAAAGGATTTTTATAGAGTATGCAAAAATTTTGGCTGCACTTAAATTGTTGATTCATTATATTGTGTTATATTGATGAAAATGGACGTTTTAGGCATTTTTTCGAACTTTGAATAATTATTATCTTGGA